TCAGTGAAGGCAAACATGGGTATATGGGTGGAGAGATGGGTGGACAGGCTGAACTATTAGGTATGCCTATGAAATGGGGAGTGTATCCAAGAACATGTACAGGGTTGGCAGACAATGGTCCTGTAAGCAGAAAGAAGGAAATCAAAGACTCAAAGAAGAAAGTAGTCTACAGAACAAATAGTCTACACAAACCACAGAGAATACACTACCCTGAAACCAGAAGAACTACATGGTTCCTGGCTACCATTCTAACCAGGGTTACAGGAGATTTTTCTGCTAGAATGGGAGAAAAACGTGGGTGGAGCACAACCTCAACTTCCTAAAAAAAGAAAAAAGAACCAGATCTACTGGACTAGTTGGGACTGGATGACTTTTTGAGACTACTGCCCTGAGACAGTTTTCAGACTCTGAACTGAAAGTAATCCCAGAGGTCATCTTGAAGCTAAATAAAAAATTGACTCAGAAAATAACGACTATCACCCTTAAGTACTGTGCTCCTTCTAAAAATCACCTACATGAGGCCAAATGATCAACAATTACTTTAAAACAAAGATAAGAGGGTAAGGGGGCAGGAAAATTAGATTAATGGAAACAGAACAACCAGATGGAAATATTTAGAATGTTCATTAATTATGAAGAACGTGACCATGTCACTGACCAACATGTGTAGAAATCATTGCATGGGAACCTAATCTGTTGTGCAAACCTTTGCTGAAAACACATTATTACTATTATTTTTTTTAAAGTGCAGGTAGAGTAAGAAACCAATTTCAATAGATTTTAAAAGACTGGACAACTAAAGGGTATATATACACTACAAATTATCTGGACATGAGAAGTCTAGGGCCTGTGAGTTTACCAAGAATAATTCTTCTCAGTGCAAGGTCCAGGCTTCTAAAAGCTGTTTCAGCTGAGAAATGAGACCAGCTCTCCAGGAAATCTGGTGGCAACGTGGTTAATCTGTTGCTTGATAAATCCAGGTAAGTGAGGTTCTTCAGGTACCTGGTTGCTTCATTTGGCACTCTCGTTATTCTGTTATTGTGCAAATCCAGGGTCCTTAGACGGGGCATCTCCAGCAGAGATACCCAAGGGAAAGCAGGCAGAGAATTCCCATTCAAGCGCAACTCATGCAGTTGCTTTAGGTTGTAAAAGCTGCTGGGGTCAATGCTAGTCACAGAATTGCAAGTCACCCAGAGGTACTGAAGCTCCACCAAGTAGTAGAAGGCCTCGGCAGAGATTCTGCGAATGACAGTCTTCTCTATGCGAAGTTTTACAGTGTCCACGGGGATGTTCATGGGGACTTCGTTCATATCCAGGTCATTGCAGAGCACCAACCTACTGTAACAATAAGAGCAATGGAAAGAAACCTGCTTTCTGAGACCCACTTGAAAATAATCCTTATATGATACATATGTCAATCTTCATTCCCCATTCGGTTTTTAGAAATAGCTATTCAGTCTGGCTAAACTGTTCATTAATAATTAATTCCTCATCATGTTTTTCTTCATCATAATCATCATGATAGCAGTTACTATTAGACTGAGCCATATGAAATGGTCATTTTTGTAGGTCAAAAGTGGTCCAATATCAGTAATCTCATATAGTTCAGTTTAATGTTTATGGGGTTCTCCTCATGTGCCTGGCCTCTGTAACACTCCTCACGTGCATTACCAAAAAAAACAAACTTACTGCAGTCACGTCGGTTCTGATCCATAGTGACCATTCTTCGGGTTTCCAAGGCGATATCTCTAAGGAAGTAGATTGCCCAATCTTCCTTCTGAGGAGTGGCTGGTGGGTTTGAACCTCCAGCCTTCTGGTTAGCAGTCAAATGCCTAAGGCACTATGCCACTAGAGCCTTATTTATCATCAAAAGAGCCCTATAAGGTAATTAGGTAATGAGTAAAAGCACCAGCTCTAGAGTCAGGTCATTTCTAAAATCTACCACCTCCTCTGTGGCCATGGAAAGCCACTTTGCCAATCTCTCTACATCATTTTCCCATTTGGCACCACTGTGATAATTAACTGAAGTAGATGAAATTTTACATCTTCCTGGCACAGAATAAGTGCTATTCAGGTCACCAACCCCATTTTTACAGACAGAATAACTGAGGCTCACCAACCTCAGGTAGCTTCTTGAGGTCACAGCGCCACCTTTCAAACCCGTAACTGTCCAAACAAATTCCAAAATGCATAATCTTAACCTCTTTTGGAAATGATCCATTTTAAAAGAAGCCCCTGTGAAAGTTACAAATTGAGCTTTTTAAGAGGACCATTTCATATTAAAAGAAAAAAAAATGTGTTAACACTAGATGTCTAAAGTTGAGTACCGTGACTTGTGTATTGCTTTCCATCTAAGGAATAAACCAGAAACTGCAAGTTTGTTCCTTTCTCCCACTCACTAACTTAGGTGACCTTCAGCAAGTCACGTTGTGATCTTGTTTACTGGCATGTGTGAAACAGGCATAGAAAAACAAGCCTGTCCCACGGGTGGACTGAAAGTTTGAGGGATCAAAGAATTTAGATTCATTTTAACCTGAACGAGGTTTGTCTCCTATTTATATACTCACTTACAAAGGGTTGCTGCAAATGAGTAATAAACTTTACAGAGCATTTTATACATTATAAAATACATTATACAAGTAGCAAATAATAACAAAAAAATGATATTCAGTAAGACACATAGTATTAAAGCACTGAATCTTAATAGCCAGCATAATATGAAAGGAGGAAGCCATATAAAGCACAATTACTGGTAGTAGCAACTCTTTTCTGTAACTCTAGGGAAAGACCCTACAGAATCATTGAAACTTTCTAGAACATCTCTAGCTCTTTATCTGTATTCTACATTACAAATTCTAGTGCTACTTTATACCAGAACGATAACAGCTTCCAAACAAGTCAGCATTCCAGTGTGCTGTAATGGGACCAAAAAAAAAAAAAAGCCTGCACTGCAAGTGAAAGACCTAGCATGTTTATCAACCGTCACTGCAGCAACTCAACTATAGGACCTTGGAAAAGTCACTTACTCTCTGTACAGTTTAGTTTCTTCATTTCTAAAATGAAAAAGGTAGAACTAAATTATTTCTAAAGTTCTTGCCAGGCATAATATTCTATGATTTTCATAAAATACACCAAATAATGGGGACCCTATGGAGAAGGAAATATTTCTCAAAAGTACCCTAGCCTGGTACCATAGTGTCTAAGGTGTTTGACTGCTAACTAGAAGGCTGGAGGTTCAAACCCACCAGCCACTCTGCAGAAGGAAGACTGGACAATCTACTTCCATAGTGATATCACCTCAGAAACCCAAAGGGGATCGCTATGAGTTGGAATCAACTCAATGGCTTCTGTCATTGCATTGTCATTGTCACCCTAGTCTGAGTTATTAACTGCTGCATATATTTGGCAAATACGTCTTAAATGTGTCATATTCTTCTCATTGTCTTTAACCACCCAGTGAGTACTTCAAAAAGATATAAAGAATTGGTTAAGTATATATAATAACTCAACATAGCAATAAAAAATGTGTTTTTGTTATTTTATTTGTTTTAAGGTTTTAAGTCACAGATGGAGTGAATCTTTTAAAAAATTATTTAAGACACTTATTGAAGAGACTTCAACCAAGTCATAAGTCACAAGTCACAAAACAGCTAATTTTGTTGTTAAACAGTCTCTCAAAAAAAAAAAGAAAAGAAAGAAAGAAAAATCAAGATCTACATATTTGGCTAACCCAGCTCCATTCTGCATTTAACTTCTGGTAGAAGGGCTCTGATACACATAATTATTTTCACTTCATAAGTAAATGTTAAGCAACGCAGAGGTTATCTGTGAGGCCCTAATTGTCTGCAGTAGTGAAGATGCATGTATCTTAAGCTGCTTTACTTTGTCAATTCTACTAGCTTAAAAAGAAAAATTCTTATATGAATCTAACTTCACTCTTGTGATCTTTCTTCTAGGTTCCTAAAGTCTATTGAGTTGGTATGAATACTCCTCAAGACAAAATGGAAAAACATGAAAGAAATGGTCTGGGCATGTCAAGCAGCTTTGATGAACCCAGCCTCCTTAAGCTTTCTGGAATCAAGTACAGAGCTGGCCACACACACAGAAATGGTGTGACTTCCTGAAAAGGACATTTTATGAACATGAGTATGTGGATATTTTTGTAACATAAATGTATTTGAGAGTATCAAATGATTTGTGGGGATTTAAGAGTTACACTGGTCAAACTGGTCAAAATGAAAACAATGAGGAAGTTTGGGCAACTAAATAGAATATACCAATATTAATCTCAATAAGCCAAAGAGTATGTAATTTTCACCTTCTCTCTTCTGATTTCTAACACTCAAACAATTTACCTTCAAAATAAGGCTAAGGCACCTTGTTTGAGTCCTCTCTTTAGGAATAATTAGAATACTTGGTAACAAAAAGGGAAGCATACCTTGATCCGGTTCCGTCATTTCTGCCGTGATAATTGCAGGTGCACTGTGAAGGACACGAACAGCACACCTCTTCCATAAAGCTAAGTATGATGCAAAGACTTACAAATACATGCATCACTCCTTTTAGAGGTAATGTAAACAAAAGGTAAAAGCCAAATCTTAAACATTCAGAAACTGGTGTGCCGGGAATGCAAACATCCATTTAGTAATAGCAGATTACACGGGATTAGCTGAGATCTGTAGTTACTTAACCTTCAAGTGTATTTTGCAGGGGATCAATCGACCCAGCCTTTGAATATAGTTACAACAAAGTAACATTTTAAAGGGAATGAAGATTAAACACGTCAGGAAAATGCCGATAGCTGCCCACATTGAGATTGTGAGGAAATGCCTATTAAATCCCTTTCCTATGGATGTAATTGTCACTACAACTTGAAGATACACTTAATGTCAAAAATAATTTAATGTCTTAGCAAACAATATTGCAGATTATTTACATACAGGAACATTGTAAATTTCATTTTTTGCATTTTTAACAGCATTCCAGTTTTACAAAAATTTAATTTTAAAGATAGAAGCACATAATATAAAATTGATTTAATACACAGTTTTCATGTACTGTACTGTTACCATGTACTGGTAATTTATAGACATTCCAAAAGCAAAGGAAACAAAGTTTAGTCCATAGAATTTTTCTTTCTCTTTTTTAGGAAAACTCTTCAATCCATCTCTGAAGGGTAGGACTAAAGACTGTGGTGAGGAGAGTCCTGAGACTCTTCTACATCCCTGCAGTGCAAAGTTTATCCTCACATGTTTATTTTTCATAATGGCAATTACCTCTATTCAAGAGTATATTTATTCTAAGTTAGCTTCCTCAGCTTACATGCATCAAAACCCATAATTGAAGATCAGCTGTCATTTCTTTTAGAAATACGAGGTACTATCAGAAAATGAAAAGAAAATTTTAAAAATAAAACTATTCCCACACATCATGGAAATGCCAAGGACTTAGGTAATAAGCATTTGTGTCATCAGATCTTACTGAGTGGCTATATCTATTATCTTTAACCAAAAACTCTTTTAAAAGATCATCAATCCTCTAAAAATGAGACTACTTTGAGACGTATTACTTAAGGATAATAGAATTTATATAGAAATGAGTCAGAAAAACTTGCTTAATTTAAATAAAATACTTCATATTTTCATATTTTGCCAATTCATTCATTCATTATATATTTACAGAGTACATACTCTGTGCCAAGCACTGGACTAAGGGGTACAAAGATGAATAGCGGACAGTCACTACACACAAGGAGCTCACGTGAAAAAGACAGGCACAAAAGCACTGAGGAAGAACAAGACAAGAATATCAAATCTGGCTCATGTTGGTCAGGAAAGGCTTCCTTCCTAGGGCAGGTGGTACCTGAGCTTCTCCCATAGGATGCATATTAATTTCTTAGGGGGAGGAATCCCAAGCAGTGGGAAAAGCATAAACAAAGGGAAGGAAGCAACAAACAGGAAGTTATCTTCAGAGAACTACAATCAGGCCTGGTTGCTTGGACACAGACAGCAGAGGAAGTGGTTAGGGGAAGAGGTAGGTAAGCAGGGAGTGGAGGGTAGAGCTGTGACCGTTAAAGGATCAAACGCTTTTTGAATTTTTAATTTTACAGATGTTATAACCTACATAGAAACAATTCATGCCAAGCTGAGTACAGAAAACCAGTTTAAAGAAAATACATCAGAAATTAGTAAACTAGGAAGTTAGAAGGAGTCACGTAACAAAAGCCAGGACTTCCTAGTCTCATTATGTAAGCAATTTAATTGATTAATGCAGTATTAAAATACGGTTATCATGTTAAAAGCCTGCATGTTTGAAACAAAGATGTCCCTTACTAGTTGCTGGAAAAGAGTTCAAGGATTTGCAAATTGGAACACTGAATCCATTTTCTAAACAATATTATAAATGTTGCCTTGGCCAGTTACTGGCTCTGTGACTTTGGGCACAGAGAACCTCACTCTGCCTATTTTCTCTACTAATGGCTCAGCTACAGGGAACAGAATGAGCAAAGAGCTAGTGGCACAAAGGCATTCAGAGACCTCTGGGAATGCCAAATAGTTTAATTAGGCCATGGGCAAAAGACAAAAAGCTGGAAATTCTGTTTTAAGGTGAGGAACTTACACTTACTTGGCAGGCAATTGAGGTTTTCTGACTTGGAGAATTATAGTATAGAAACATTGTTTTGGAAAGATTAGGTATAAAGCTAATGTTGATTACAGTAGAGAAAGGCAGAGGGTGGGGAGATAAATTAGGATATGACAGCAGTTTTCCATCCAAATGCACAGATTTGTACAGATATAAAACTAACACCTTGATTTTATTCAATATGCAATCAAAGATGCTAAAGAGATAATTTACCAAAGGGAAAAAAAAAAACCCCTAAGAAAATACAATATGCAAAGATATACAGCCTCACTAGCAGTTAAAGAAATGTGAACTAAAATTGCAGTATATAACTCATGGTTTAAAATAGCAATGATACGGAACCCTGTTAGAAGGAATACGAAAGGGAAAGTGTACTTACACAGTGCCAGTGGTAGTGCAAATTAACTCAATCTTTTCTAAACAGCAGCTAGCAACAAATAATACCCCCTTACAAAAACAATTATTTGTACTAAAACGTTCCCAGTGGTGCATCCATGAAACTAAAAATGGGAAGCAATGTAAATGTCCACTGATAGTAAACTATTATACATATTGATTACATATGTTATATATATATGTGTATGTATGTTATATATGTTATATACGTATGTTTTGGGAGCTCTGGTAGCATAGTGCCTAAGGCATTTGACTGCTAACCAGAAGGCTGGAGGTTCAAACCCACCAGCCACTCCTGAGAAGGAAGACTGGGCAATCTACTTCTGTAGTAGTTACCACCTCGGAAACCCAAGAAGGGGTCGCTATAAGTTGTATCCGACTCCACGGCAGTGAGTTTTTTTTAATATAAACATATGTGTATATTAACATGCCAGGCTTAATGGTTATTTAAAATGACAAATACATGGAGTCTACAAATTCACTCAACATCCAATAAATACTGAGTTCCTGCTATATGCAGGTAAAAAATGGGTCTAGGTGCTAAAGATAAATCAAAGAATAAAACAGACCAAAATTCTCATATTCACTGAGCTTAATTCTAGTGTCAAATATATGGAAACACATAATTAGAAAAACAGTACTTGAAAAAGAGAGAGTGTATAACTATATGCACAGAGATTATACTGTTAGCAAAAATACATAAGTGCACTGACTCACATATATGATTTTAGAAGCAACAGTGTTTATTTTTGTTAAGTAGTATAAATTAATGATTACATTAAAAATTTAATATTTTGAAATGCAAAAAAAAAGTTTTTTATTCTAGCTGGGAATATCTAACAACTCATTATAGTAATCATTTACTAAGGAGCTCTGGTGGTATAGTGCCTAAGGCACTTGATTGCTAACCAGAAGGCTGGTGGTTCAAACCCACCAGCCACTCCTCGGAAGGAAGAGTACTACTTCTGTAGTGATACCACCTCAGAAACCCAAAGAGGGGTCACTATGAGTTGGGTCCAACTCAAAGGCACATAACAACGATATGATCTTATGAAAGGAGCACTAGTGGCAGTGACTAAAGCATTTGACTCACAACCAGATGGATGGCGGTTCAAAGCCACCAGCTGTTTGGTGGAAGGAATTTGGGGCAATCTACTTCTATAAAGATTTACCACCTTTGAAACCCAATGGCAGTTGCTATGAGTCAGAGCCAACTTGATGGCAGTGGGTTTTTGTTTTATAATATTATATAATTAATTATTGTTGTTAATTTACTCTAACATTAAAATAGCTGCTTCTAAGCTAATGGAAAGGAGCTCTGGTGGCATAGTGGATAGGGCATTTGGCTGCTAACTGGAGGGTCAGCGGTTCAAACACACCAGCCACTCCACAGAAGGAAGATGGGAGCAATCTACTTCTGTAAAGATTTACAGCCTCGAAACCCAATGGGGGTCACTATGAGATGGTAATCTGATAGCAGTGGGTTTGGTTTTTTAGACTAATGGAAAAAGAGCTCTGGTGGTGCTGTGGTTAAGGCATGGGTTTACTAACCAAAAAAAGGTAGGCGATTCAAAAAAATGAGGCAATTTACTTCTGTAAAATTTACTGCCTTGGAAACCCAATAGGGTCACTATGAGTCAGAATGACTCAACAGCAGTGGGTTTGGATTGGTTTTGGTTAGGCTAATGGAGGACCCAAACAAGTTGGCAGGCCATCAGTATGTTGTAATATGTACTGGTAGGAGAAGAGAGTAGGGGCCTTAATCTCCTGTGCCTAAATCCATCAAAGGAGATGACCAGTAAGCTTACATATAATGAAACAAACAAACGTGCACTATAGCAGCCACTGCACAAACAGAATTATGTTCTTCACTTGAGGAACTTATAGTCTAATAGGACATTTACCTATGTCTGCATTTAATCGAAATGAGATCATATTTAAAATAAAATAAAAAAGGAAATGTTTTGATAGTGTGTGCTTTTCTCTTATTTCAGATTCTTCCAGAAGCCAGTGGGTTTTGAGATACAGTCATTGGTAAAGTACTCGTCACAGGCACTGCTTGGTGAGTCTGGCATTTGACCATGGCAAACATTGCCCTCCGGAATCTACAATAAAGAACGGGAAATCTGGCATCATCTTACAATGACTTGGAACTCTTAAAATACTTTCAAACATAAAGAAGGCCCACTACTACTAATTGACACCTACAAAACAAATTTCTACCTCCAATTTTAATACCTTTATTAGACTGAGGCCCTTTTTTCCAAGGCACCTCTGGGCGGATTCAAACCACCAACCTTTAGGTTAGTCGTTGTGTTTTAACATTTGCACCACCTAAAGACTCCTTCTTAACCTTTACAAAAGTGTAAGGTAAATGTTACAACTAAAGACCAATTTTGCACCACTGCTTATGAACACTGAAGGCTTTAAATAATTAGTAGTTAATCAATTACCTGCATTTAAAATACTACTAATATCAATTGCAATCTTTTTTTCTTCTTTTTTTTTTTTTTTAACTAAGGATGCCTTGGTTCATGCCTCTCTTGGAACTGACTCAATGGCAATGGGTTTGGGTTCTGAGCAAAGGCCAGTTGAAATTAATTGGGTTTGAGAACAACTGATCTTTGAAAAGGAACTACTAACAGACTCTGAAGGAGCTCTGGTGGCACAGTGCCTGAAGCATTTGACTGCTAACCAGAAGGCTGGTGGTTTAAACCCACCAGCCACTCCTCAGAAGGAAGACTGGGCAATCTACTTCTGTAGAGATGGTGTTGCTGCAAATAACAAATTTGAAACCACCTTGCAAACCCAAGGAGTGGTTGCAATGAGTCGAATCGACTTGACGGCAGTGAATTTGGTGTTTTTGGTTTTTAACAGACTCTGAATTTAAAATGTATGTTTTATTCTTCTTCTTTGGCCTGTTTGATATTAAAATTCTTATGTATTTTTTTCACATCCTTTATCTGTAGCTAAAGCTGATCTCCAAACATGTACATTAATACACAAGTTTAATAAAAAGCAGCATTGGCATTCCAGGTTCAAAGACCTGAAGTCTACTGAGATTTTCTGGCCAAATATTTAAGCACAGTGTATAGGTTCATTCCATATTTCCAGCAATAAAAGGAAATAAAATAATCTCAACTTCACTAAGAAAGCAAGAGAGGAAATTCTTGCTGAGTCCGAAAATTAGAGGGAGAGAAGGATCCTCTATTATCCTGAATGACTACCGATTCCTGAAGCTCTTTATTTCAGCACTGGATTTTTCTCTTATATTTAGATGAAATGCTTTCCTTCTGGTAAATCTACAACTGTGCTCCCTACACAGAGAGCCCAACACTGCTTTGTCCGTTTTCCAGTAATAGCATTGCTTGATCTTTTGGAGAAAGTACCTACAAAGCACAAACAGTTTGGACTTGAGTGCTAAACTAAAGGCTGGTAGTTCAAACCTACCCAATAGTACTTTATAAGAAAAGACATGATGTTCTGCTTTGATTTAGATTATAGCCAAGAATATTACACACTACCCGTAAACATTGTTCTACATTTTACTTTGGTGAGTAATGACTGGGGTCTTAAAGACTTGCAAGCGGCCAGAGAGATACAATAATTGTTCTCTCCTCATCCAAAGCAAAGAAGAATGAAGAAAACCAAAAAACCAAAAATACCAAACTCACTGCCATGGAGTCAGATCTGACTCATAGCGGTCCCTCTTTGGGTTTCCAAGGTCATATCACCACAGAAGTAGCTCGCCCAACCTTCCTTCCGAGGAGTGGCTGGTGGGTTTGAACCGCCAGCCTTCTGGTTAGCAGTCAAATGCCTTAGGCACTACACCACCAGAGCTCCTGAAGAAAACCAAAGAAACTGGAAACAATTAGTCCAATGGACTAATGAACTGTGCAGACCTCAGCCTACATGACCACAAGACCATAAGAACTAAGTGGTGCCTGGTTACCACTGTCAACTACTCAGAAAGGGATCTTGCAGGAGATCCTGGGAGAACAATGTGCAACAAAACTCAATGATAAAAAAGACTAGGTTTACCAGTCTAACAAAACCTGGTGAAACCCCCAAGGCTATAGCCTCTACTTACCCTTCATGCCTGGAACTGAACTCACTCCCGTGGCTTCCAGGCAAACAACAGACAGGCATATAGGGTGAACATTTTACACCAGGTAGCCACACTTCTTAGAATAATCAATCATGGGAGAACAGAAGGGCAGTATTTGCACAGGGAGATAGCTCAGGGTACAAGAATGCATAAGAAAGAAGGACACAGGAAAGAGGTAACTATAGGGAGGAAGTGGGAAGATGCTGTTATATTGCAGGGACTGCAGTCAATGTCATCAAACAAAAAGTACATAGACTGCTGTATGGAAGATGAATTTCCTCTATAAACTTTCACCCAAGTCACAATAAAAATTTAAGAAAAAAAATATATATTATAGTTCAGAAAACCCTATAGAATAGTTCTACTCTGTAACATGTGGGGTGACCATGAGCTGGTTCCGACTCAACAGCAACTAACAAAACAACAACATCTTTTGGAAAACCCATTCCACGTATTTTGCATGGAATAAGATTCAAACGGTTGATGTGGTTGGCTGCTAACTGAAAGGCTGGAGGTTCCAGTCTATCCAGAAACACTTTGGAAGAAAGGACTGGTGATCTATTTCCAAAAAATCAACCAATGAAAACCTAGTTCTACTCTTGCACACATGGGGTCACCATGAGGTGGAATCGATTCTATAGCAACTGATTCACCACGTGAACCGAGGTGAATTGACGAAGGACCTCGCAGGGACTCTCCTGCCACAAAGCCATCTTGAGATGCGCCTCACATTCCGAACTGCTTAACCTATAGAACCTGGGTCTTGTATTATCCATGATCATCTCTGCTGCTGTGTGGGAAAGTCTGTCACAGAATTAGAGATTTAGGCTTTTCAGTAGGCTGCTGTATATTTCAGTTGCATGAGCCCAATAGCCTTCTTGTTTACGTGAGTTTGAAATGAATTTCTGTCTCTAGAACAGTATTCAGTTGTCTTTTAACCTTCTTGTATCAATTATTTCATTTAGAACCATTTTAGATGTTACTTACTTTTTATTAGCAACCACATAAATACAGGGATTGTAGAATGTAGATGATTTTGCAAACAGTGGAGCTATGATAGCCACGGAGGGTGGAATCTTCTTTGGGTCACCAAAAGAAGCCCATAAGCACACAACAGAATAAGGGGACCAAGCCACCAGAAACATTAGTATCATTATCACAGACATCTGTAAAAGAAGCAAATATTCATCAAACCTAATACCTAAAATAGCATGGAGAACTATCTAGATTGGAATTTGAACACATTTACGTTGTTAACGACATGAAGTAAATAGCTAAGTTTTTACCTCAATGTATTTTGCTTAGGTACAGGAAGGCAGCAATGATAGTAAGAGCTTGTGTATTATATACATTGATTTTCTGTATTGTTTTTAAGAACATTACACAAATGTAATTTATTTCTTTATTTTGGTCTGCCAGGGGAGGGCACAGAAGCTGGCTCTGAGGAGAGACAGATGAAAATCCATACCTAACCGTTTTCTCGTAATTGTGCTACTACCTGCTGGTCCAGCTTTTTCTTTTCCTCACTGTCATTATCTGCAAGTCTAAAAAAAAAATAATTTTCTAACCTCAATCTGAGGGAAAAAAAAAAACAAACCCTATGTTAAACTCAGTGAGTTCTAACACAGACCACTTATGCTAGATATGTAATATGTTCAATATAAACTTTTTTTTTAAAGGAAGTTCCCTTATATCTTTTTAAAATGGTAAATTATAAACCTTATATTGCTCTCTCCTGATCACACAATAAAATGATGAAACAGATTTTAAAAAGACAAAAACCCCTAAGGACAGATTAGTGATTAGACAATAGTTTTTTAAAAAATTAGAAAGGGAATAACAATTGGGTAAATGACAAATTACTTATCAGACATAAGAATAATTAAAAAAAAAAAAAGGCAGCCAGCAGTGAGGGAAAACCAGAAACAGACTAATTCATTGCACTGAATTTCAGAAAGTCTCAGAAATTGAAGGTAAGAGATAACTTATTCTGAATGAAGGCATGCATGTAGAACTGAAAACAGGTGAATTTTTTTTCACATGCATGTGACAGCTGGACAATGAATAAGGAAGACCCAGGAAGAATTGATACTTTTGAGTAGTGGTGTTGGTGAAGAATACTGAAAGTACCATGGACTGCCAGAAGAACTAACAAATCTGTCCTGGAAGAAGTGCAGCCAGAATGCTCCTTGGAACTGAGAATGGCCAGACTTCATCTCACCTATTTGGTCATGTTGTCAGAAGCGATCATTCCTTGGAGAAGAATATCAGGCTTGGTAAAGTGGAGGGTCAGCAAAAATGGGGCAGACCCTCAACAAGATGGATTGACACAGTGGCTGGAACAATGGGCTGAAGTATAGCAAGGACTGTGAGGATGGTGCATAACTGGGCAGTGTTTCATTCTGTAGTACATAAGGTCACTATGACTTGGAGCCAACTTGACGGCACCTAACAACAACAAAAACAAATCTTCACGGAAGTAGACTGCCTCATCTTTCTCCTGAGGAGCAGCTGGTGTGTTTGAACCATTGACCTTTTGGTCAGCAGCCCCATGCATTAACCACTACACCACCAGAGCTCATTATTTACATTATATATAATGTAAATAAATATGTATGTATTACTTATTTTACATATATAAGTATACAACATGTAAAATATAAGAGAAAACATACATCCATAGAGGTCCCTAGGTGGCACAGATGGTTTATGCTCAACTAACAATCTAAAGGTTTTTAGTTTGAACCCACCTAGCATGGAAGGAAAGCCTGGTGATCTTACATAAAATTACAGCCAAGAAAATACTATGGAGCACAGTTCTATCGTGTAATGAATGGAGTCACCATGAGTCAGAATCAACTCAATGGTAATGGGTTATTTTTATTAATGCATCTATAAAACAAGAAGAGGCTACAAAAAACAGGTCACAGTATAAAATAACTCCTTTATATATAAGAATTTTTTTTTTTTATCATATTGGTAACAGTGATAGCAGAAATGTTTAAAAATGTAATAGAAAGGTTGAAAGACATGGTTAGGGCTAAGATGAGTGTGAGGCAGGTAAGGCAAGTCCTACAAGTGTAGAGTCTGATGCTATATTTATTTAAAGTTTTGTATTTTGTTCATCATGGATTTTTTACATTTATTTTGATTGTTTAAAGTATTGCATTAAAATATTGCACTTCTTGATTACTCAGTTTTTGGTGCCCCTTAAATTCTGCACGCAGGCATAAGCCTTACTCTCTTTACCCTAGTCCCAGCCCTGAATACAGCTGAAAAAATGTCCCAGCAAGAGTAAGATTAAATAAAAAGAAAGAGAAAAATTAGAAGACAAAATTTAAGAAAATCAGAGGATAAATCCAGGAGATCAAATATCCCAACAAAAGGAAAGAGAACAGGGGGGAAAAAAAAAACATCACAAAAAGGAGGGAATTACAAAAGAATACAAAAGCTCTACCAGAAGTGAACAATGTAAGTCTCCTAATTGAAAGCAATCACCAAGTACCCAGCAGGTGGATGAATGAAGACCCACACCAAGCACATCATTGTGAACTTTCAGAAAACTGAATACACAGAAAGTCCTACAAGCTTCCAGAGAGAACACACAGACCCCCTCCAAAGGATGTTATCAGAATGCCATCAGCCTTTACAATAAGAATACTAGAAGCTAAGAGCAAAACCTTCACAATTCTCTGCAAATTATTTCTACCTAGAATTCTACACATAGTAAACCATCAGTCAAGCATGACAGAAGAATTAAGATATATTCAGGCACACAGTCTTAAAAACTTTTACCTCCTTTGTACCCTTTTCTCAGGAATCTACTGGAGAATGTGCTCTACTAAACCAGAGGGAGTACATCAAGAAAAAGGGAAAACATGCAATGCGGAAAACAGAGGATCTGACCCAAAAGAGAGGCCAAAGTCATTTCCAAATGGTGATGGTTTGCACTCAACTATTAATCAAAAGGGAGCTCTGGTAGCATAGTGTCTAAGGCATTTGACTGCTAACCAAGAGGCTGGCAGTTCAAACCCACCAGTCACTCACTCCTTGGAAGGAAGATTGGGCAATCTACTTCCATAGAGATTCCCCTTGGAAACCTAAGGATGGGTCGCTATGAGTTGGGATCACCTCGACGGCAGTGAGTTTGGTTTTTTATTTTTTTCTTTTAAATTAACCAAAAGGTTAGCAGTTCAAACCCACCCAGTGCTGCTAAAAAAGGCCTGATGATCTGCTTCAGAAAAAATAACAGCCAAGAAAGCCTTATGGAGTTATTCTACTATAACACATGGGGTTGCCAAGAGTCAACCAAATCAACAGCAACAGGTATGGGGTTTTTTTGTTTGACTGCTTTGTTTTCCAATGAAGAGTGATCTGAGGATGATGGCAAACTGGCCAGTAGTCCTAGAGAGCAGCCAATCCAGAATGGAATAAGAGGTTGGAGGGTGCTGGAAGGAACAGCTCCAAGAAAAGGAAAAAATCAATTTATTCTCTGATGTGTTTGGACATACTAAGAGGAGACTGACACTTGTGGTGTAGAGTTTAAGGATGAATTAATTATAGGAACATAGAACATTAAGAAAACAAAACCAGAAAAAGACAGGGATGGGAGAATGAATAAATAAATTAATTACTAACTTCAAAGAAAAGAAGTTGTGTAAAAAGAGAAGTGTGAATCATTGTTCTCTGCAATGGTATCTGCAGAACATAAAATTTAGTCATAATAATGTAAACATTGACTCTTAATCCAGTGAAATATTATCATTATATTGACAGGATAAGGAGAAATAAATATAGAGGGAAGGAGAAAGGACACTAATATAAGAGAAATAAATCTTCATCTTCCATAGCAGAAAATCCAAGAGCAAATAATCGTATCATTTAGAAATGTGAAGGCAAACACCAAAAGACAGAGCTGGGGAGGATCAGAGATGGGGAGAGGCGACACACAGCAGTGGGGCAATGGACTCTTTCGCTATGTATGCATAAAAACTTGATTACAAAGACTGTTTTAAGGACTTGGACTTCTTACCTTTGTTACATCTAACTGATCTGACCAGTCTCTGTTGAGGTACTCAGCGCAGTTACTAGCAGTATGACGTTTAATGCATCGAGTGACCTGGTAATAGCAGTAAAACATCACTGCTAGGGGCAGAACAAAATTTATCATAACAACTGTCATTGTGTAAGAGACAAAAGACCTAAAAATAAGAAAAAGCAATTATAACTACTCATTTAAAGTCCTACATAGGAGGATGGGAAACAGGTAACAATAATTAGAATTAATTCTGGCATTGTCCTGTAATTATTATATTATTAAATATCTTAGAACTTTTAGTTCATTTAGACCAGGAGTTGGTAAACTATGGCCTCAGGCCAGATCCAGCCTACCACTTGTTTTTGGAATAAAGTTTTATTGGAACATAGCCATACATACATACATACAGTCTAAGGCTGCTTTCATAGTACAACAGCAAAGTTGAATAGTTGTGTCAAAGAATGTCTAACCTGTGAAATGTAAGATACCTGCTTTTTGACCCTTTATAGAAAAAGTTCTAGAATTTAGATTTAGAAATTTCTAGTTTTCTGAATAATCTCAATTTCTTTAATGAACTAAATTATCCTCGTTTTCTCGGGAAATACAGAAGAGCGTAACCAACTACCAGGAAAATCCTTGCAGGGGCTGTGCTTTTGCTATGTGATTCCTAGAAGACGCTTTATCACCAGATCTTCTTGAAAAGGCGTATGGAGTCAGCCTGAGCTGTCACCAGAGCTGAACACTGTCTCACTCCACTAACAGTCTCTTTGACCACTCAAGCTACTCCATCTAAGATGTACAAATACTGTACGGGTGATTTGTACCCTCCATTGCTACCTCAGGAAGGAAGAGAGAGGGAGGAAAGCGTACAGGAGGGGGGAGAGAAGAAGCTGGATGACCTTCACTTGTAAACCAGCATAATTCACTTTCTCAATTTTATCTCTTGCTTGAATCACATTGTCACTATCAGGGAAGCCCTTTGTCACACTCTGATTGGATATTTTGATTGTAATTTTTTTTTTACACGTGACGTGATTTGAGCTTAAATTTGAAATGGTGAAAAAATGTCTACATTAACAGCGTTTGATTTTTAAAGTGTAAACATGTCTCTTACACGTCATTTTTCCGCCAGTTTATGGTACAGGTGGCACCAGTTGGGTCTGGGGCATAATTTGCCCACCCTATGATAGGCAGTGAAGCCCAAAGCAAGCCATTTATCCAAGCTCCCAGGATCATGCCAACATAAGTGTTAGAGCTCATTCTTCTTCCTGTTGACAATCATATGAAATATTAACCTCATTTGCCAATGATAGGATTCACATCTTCACTTTGTTTTAACCAATGATTCAAATTTGTTAATAAGTAGATTCTTCACAGAACACTTCAGTTCATTCAAAGTCTATCAACATGAATTCACGTTCTAAAAAAATAAAAATGACATTTAAGAGAAGCCTGAATGATAAAAAAAGAACAGCCAGAGGGTAAACAGGAAGAAGAGCTTTCTAGGCACAGGGAACAACACATACAAAGGTCCCAAAGTGGGAGAGCTTGGCCAGTTCCCCAAAGTGAAAGTGGCCCTAAAGAAACTCGAAAGGTAGACCAGGAGTCAGACCATGAGGGCCTTGGAGGCTATGTTATGAAGTTTGGATTTTATTCTAAGTATGATAGGAAATTACTGATACTTTTGAATAGGAGTGCCAGAGAGAGAAGACTGACTGTGATCGCAAACCATTATGTTTATGTTTTGGAGAGAAAGTGTGTTAGCTGTTATGTGAGCAAGAAATAGATTCATTTAGAAAGCTGAAAAAGAGCGTACCTATATCAGGATGGCAGATGGTCAGGTATCGATCCATGGCCACAACAGTGAGCAGTCCAATACTTACCATACCAAAAAAGATATTTAATCCAGCATAAATCTGAAAACAAAATGGAAAAGAACCCACCATTCTAAATACCCTTCCAGAAAATATTTAAATTTTATTCTATTGGTAGAATATATTTTAAGTATATTAAATGTTTTTAATTTTACTAATTTAAAAATCAATCTATTATCAAATTGTAACAAGTTTAATAAAGGCATTTATGGAAAGTGTTTGGGATTTCATTAATGAAAATAAATATTCTTAAAAAATATTTTAAGACATAAGGTGAAACTTCTATTTAGCAAAACTAACTCACTGCCATTGAGTTGGATCTGAATCATAATGACCCCTCCTTGGGTTTCCGAGGCGGTATCACTACAGAAGTAGATTGCCCCATCTTCCTTCTGAGGAGTGGTTGGTGGGTTTGAACCACCAGCCTTCTGGTTAGCAGTCAAATGCCTTAGGCACTATTTATCAAAAGACATCATAAACAGAGTGCAAAAATAAAGTATAAATTAGGTGCAATGCAGATAACCAACAAAAGATTAGTACTGAGAAGTTACACAATCAAGAGAAAGAAAACCTTAATAGAAAAACAAGCAAGAGATGAATAGGATATTCACACAAGAGGAAACCTAAATGTTTCTGATGTAAAAAAAGATTTACAGCCACATTATTCAAAAGAACATAAATTACAAGATACAACAGAAGTTCTCAGAATCGGCATAGCTATTTTGGAGAGCAATTTGCCACATGCAATAAAGCTGAAGATGAGCATTCTCTACAGGGTAACAATCCATTGTCTAAGCAACTTGTCTAGAGAAACTCTCACATGCTGAAGGAGGAAACATGTACAAGAACATCAATCGAAGTCTTGTTTGTAGTAGAAAAAGTTAGAAACAAATGCTCACTCAGTAATGAATAAGTTGTGGTTATGTTCATTCAATGGCATACTGTGTAGCAGTTAAAACAAGTAACTTACACCTGCATCCATCAACATGTATTAATTTCAAAAACATAACAGTGAATAAAAAGGAAATTGCATAATGCAGACAATATGATTTTATTTATACAAAACTTTAAATATTCAGATAGTATTATTTCAGATTTCTGGACACATAACTATGTAGTGAAATAGAAAAGTATTCATGAGAAGGAAGGGAATAGGATTGGGCAGTGATACAGAGTGGCCTCAACAGTATCTATAAAGTTTTATATCTTTACAATCTCTCCTCTCTCCCTGTTTTTCTATAAAGTGAAGCACATATTGCAGAACTTTAAGATCTGTCAAAATTAACTGAAGCACATGTGGGTGTTCATTACTTGCTATTATTCTCTTTAATTTTTTTTTTATTGTGATTTGGCTGAAAGTTTACAGAGCAAATTCATTTACCATACAACAGTTCATACACATTTTGTTTCATGACATTGATTGCAATCCCCATAATGTAACAGCTTTCTTGCTACTTCCTGGCTGGGGTTACCTTTTCTCCGTGTCCTTTCCTATGTACTCCTGCCCTCTAAGTTATTTCCCAGTAGGGCAATGCTGCCCTACTGATGTCCCATATCAATCATATTGATTATTCTAAGGAGTGTATCTACCTGGTATAAATGTTCACCTTATACGCCTGTCTATTCTTCGGCTGGAAACCACAGGATTGAGTTTAATTCCATGCCTGAAGTGTGACTAGGGGCCATACATAGTCTCAGGGGTTTTTCCAGTCTCTAGTCCCAGACCAATAAGCTTTTTTTTTTTTTTTTATGGTTTTGAGTTTTGTTCCACATTTTTCTTCAACTCTACCCAGGATTGTCTATACTGATCCGTTTTTGAGTGGTTGACAGTGGTAGCCAGGCCCACCTAGTTCTTCTGGTCTCAGGGTCATGTAGGCTGAGATCCTTTCACATGGTCCATTAGCCTACTGGACTAATTGTTTCCATGAGTCTTTGGTTTTCTTCATTCTTCTTTGTTCCTCTCTATAATTTCATGGCTTGAAATAGTAAACTATTAAAAACAATTAGGCCAAAAGATTTGCCTACTATCCTAATGTAAACTGAGATTAACTTATTTCCTTGTCAGTAAAAATATTTAATAATTCTGACGGAGGACTTTCCCTACAAAAAGTCAGTATAGTAGCTTAACTGCATTTCTTAGATTTTATGATTAAGTCATTAAATATTATTTCAAATGAAAAGAAGGGTAGCATTTGAATATGTAAAACTACTTTTTTTTTTTCTCTCTAGGTGAACGCTGGTTGCTTTATTTGTTTTTTCCTTTGGGTTGGGGAAACTTTCGAAAATATAAGATGCTTGGTGATTTCATTACTCCTATTAAAGAATATATTTCCCAGTCACTCTCAAAGCTCTTTTCAATAAAAGCACATCTATTATCCTACAATACCTTATTTAAGCCCTCAGGTTTCTTTAAGACATTTAAATTTACATCTTTTTGATCCAATTGATTTAGCTTTAATTTCACATGTTTCCAATACCTGACATCCTGCATATCCAAACCTCCAACTTCCATGCAGATCTGATGCAGCAGACATGGGGTAGCCAATGCTACTGACCCCTATATCAGTAACAGCCAAGTTTATGATAATTGCATTTGTGGGTGTCCGAAGTTCCTTGTACTTAATGAAGATGCCCAGAACTATTACATTGCTGAGAATACTTATCATACCTGAGAATATACCAAAAAAGAAAAAATTATTTGATTTGAATGTTTAAAGTAGAATCAAAATTAAATGTTAAGTCCCTTCAAAAATAGGGCAAATCCTTTTTAAGTTCATTTACTTAAAGAGCTCCAGCTGTCCTTAAAACTATTTGTAACATCGTCACAGCCCTTCTGTGAAAACAAAATAAGGAAACTGAAACACAAAGAATCTATCAGTTGCATAAGCCAATACTGAGGGATGGTTTTAACATTATCATTAATTACTCTGTTCTTGAAAGTCTGGCTTTCATGATTTATCCCTGCTGATTTTTAGGCTACATGTCTGACCACACCCTCTGTTATGGCAGGTTAAGGTCCTCCTGCTTCCTGAGGCCTGCTTCTTTTTCTATATATAGTTTCCTTTAGTCAATCCTCAATCATCATTCTATCCTAACAGTACTTCCATACTAATTACCAGCTATAACACCCACTGCCACCACGTTGATCCTACTCACAGCAAAATATTGAGAGGACTGGATGTGCATGATAGCCTGGATCAAATCCCTTTCTTGCTGCTAAGGATGCATAAGTTTCCCAGAGACCACATATGGGTCACACTAGGTCCTAAGGGTGGGGGTGAAGCAATTTCAGCTGAGAGAAGACTGTAGGGGTAACAAGCAGTCATGTTCATCAGCTGCAAGAGAAGTACCAGTGAGCAATCCCTTGCCATTGTGGAAGATAGAAGTGTGCTCCAAACACCAATACACAAAAGTATCAGCTAAAAACTTCTACTATATCTTGGTACCCCGGTCAAAACTACTCTTAAACATGTTACACTATCTCCCAGATTCCAGTTCTTTACCCATGCACGCTGCTGGCAGAATAAGCTTACTACAACATAGAATTCATCCTGGCTCTCCTCAAAACTTCCAATACTCCCCCACCACCTGAGGGATAAAAATCCAACTGTTTCAACTTGATATCCCAGGTGTTTTGCCTCAGTCTGTTTTCACCCTACTTAAATATCCACACTTGTCAAACCAAGCCTTCCAATCTATTTAATACAGTTACACTTGTAAACCTTAACTCATTGCTCCCACTTAGAACACCCTACTACTTTTTTCCATCTATCCAAATGCTACACATACTTGGGTTCAATTCCAATACTACTCTAACACCTTCTCCTACATACCCTACAGTATACTCTCTTCTTCCTAAGTTCTCAAAGTACCTGTCTATATTACTCATTTGCTGTATTATTTAACTCTATCTTCCTCATTTTCCCATGTAGATTTCAGAGTCCTAATGATTTCTATATTCTTTCAGCATGTAACAGACTAGATTTAATAAATGAAGCAAAACGAAATCAATCAAAAGTTTGAATACAAAGTATTTCCATAGAATTGTGATGAGATTTTTCTCTTTAAATAGCATACTGTTTCTCTCATAGAATAGCAACATAAAGCTCAAAAAGAGAACTTTTCCAGTACCTATCAGTCATTCAAATGTTACTTGAATGAACATGTCACCAAAATTTATAAAAACTTAGGAACTCACATTTTCTAATATAAAAATCAATACCATAATTGTGAATTATGGGGGGAAAAAAAAACCTAAGCAATTATAATCAGTTGGGTGCATGAGGACTTACACTTTTCCCTCTACTGTTGATTGTTTGAAAATTTTCTAAAATTTAATCCAAAAAATAACCCAATATAACAAAAATAACTTCTTCCAAAATCTGTCAGAGTGTAAAGTTAGAAACTAAGGGATTGTCAGAGGGGCAGCATTTACATAGAGGGAAAGCTGGATAGACAGGAATGCATAATTAAGAAGGGCACAAGGAGGGGGAGGGAAGGAGAGTTTTTTATGGTTGGGGATGGTCATCAGGGCCACAAAATCAAATGTGCAGCAACTGTTCAAGGAAAATAAATTTGCTTTGTAAATTTGCACCCAAAGCACAATTTAAAAAAAAAAAAAAAGAAACGAAAGGATTGTTCGGTATAAAGGTTACATCAAACTTCAACCTAGACACAAAAAAGATATTTGAAGAATGTTATCATTTCTTTTTCTGCAAACTTTAGTGATTAATCCAATATTTCAATCAATGAGTATTACATGGGGAAGAAACAAATATTTTTCAAATACCTACTATACCCAAGGTGTTTTATGTCATTTCACTGTATCCCTCGAAACAATCATGATAGGTAGCTTATTCTTATCTCCATTTAACAGATGAGAAAAGGGTAGAAAAAGGTAAGGAACTTGCCCACAGTAGCAAAGATGTAAAAGATGGAATCCAAGTTCAAGAGTTACATTATATTTTAACTTTCCAGAGTGAAATGAATTTTCAAATTCTGTACTCAATACACTCTGCTCTCTCTCTCCTTAGAACTTTCATTATCTTTCCAGGACTTCCAGTCTTGGCTACATTCCCCCATCAAGGACAAAACCATAAAAAATAAAATACAGTAATAGTGAATGATACAAAAATACATTTCTATCCTGGTACAGACTCTTCCCCAATGAAAACTTAATTTGACAATGTAATAACCAAATAGATGGATATCACAAAATTATTCATTTCATAGAGTTTTCTCAGCACCATTTCACTGCTTCCGTGTCATTTATCAAGGTTCAAAATAATCTGTAGTATTAACCACTATTAAAAGTGCTTTCATTTATTCTTTCACCTATACTCTTAGTTGATCTTTATAGCCTGGAAGTAGACACAGCAAGTCGTAATATCCTCACTTACCACATGAGCAAATGAACTAAGATAACTGACTTGTTATAATGACCAACAATATATAGCCGAAAACACTCTGAAACCAGGCTCTGAAACTCATGCTTCCTACTATCTTACGCTGAAAGCCTTTTCTCCCATTCTAAAGCAAGATAACTGTTGATGGAGTAATTAAACAGCCATACCTGCTATAATCAAGTAAGTTGCAATAATATTGTGTTCAGTTTGTGAAAAGACTGAGCCATCTTCATTTTTAAAGTCTGAACCATTGTCCAAAGTATTTCTTAGCATTTTGTAGGGAAGATATTGAAACAGCCTTCATAATATGCCTTCAGTAACTATGAAATGTTTTCACAGGCAGTGAGGGAAGAATTTTCAGGACCAATCAATTTCACTGAGAGACCTTTAAGAAAGGCCTTTTCATAAAGGCCTTCTTTTAATAGACTTAATTGGGCTAAAGAGGAAAGCATTTTAATTTCCAGAACAAGAGAAAAGCTTATTAGCACAACACAAAAAGAAATACCAAGCTCCACTAAATTGAGCATCAGTCATATCTGAGGAGATTATCAAGCAAAAACACCCCCATTTAAGCAATAAACAAACTGAAAACAAACAATGCAGGAGCTGAGTTGACTCAACTAATCTCCACTGGAAATCAGTTCTGCAATTAAGAGCCAGCCTCCACAACTACTCATCTTAAGGTTCCTATTTCTGTTGAAATAGGTTTTTCTATTACTGTCCCACATTGTTTTTTTAACTCAGAGGTAAATAATCTCCCTCTCATTCTTCTAATCCTCTCTTCTCTAAACTCACCAATATTGTTAATACCCTTTCCTATGACTTCCTTTGGTGGCATAGTGCCTAAGGCACTTGACTGCTAACCAGAAGGCTGGCGGTTCAAACCCACCAGCCACTCCTCAAAAGGAAGGTTGGGCAATCTACTTCGGTAGAGATACCCCCTTGGAAACCCAAGGAAGGGTCCTATTTGGTTTGCTTGTTTGTTTGTTTACCCGAGACCCAGTGAATCTCTAGGGGTGGAGCTAGGATCCAAGTGTTTACAAAGCCCCCACCAAAACCAAACCAAACTCGCTGCTGTCGAGTTGGATCCAACTCATAGCAACCCCTCCTTGGGTTTCCAAGGCAGTAGTGGCATAGTGCCTAAGGTACTTGACTGCTAACCAGAAAGCTGGCGGTTCAAACCC